AACAAATTTAACCGTGATATTCTTATTAATGCCAATAAACTACACATTCTTAACATTAAAATTTTTTCGTGTCATATACACTTTAAGAGCGATGGCTTTCGACCTTCCAAAGAAGCGCCAGGAATATCACACTCGTAAAGTTTCGCAGAAGACGCCATGTTTTGTATCCTAAAATTCCTCTCTCCGGTGCTCGCTCCATTTCTCGTCCGAGCGGCAGCCATTTTTATGAGTATTTTATATACACCGTCATCTTTGATTTATTACTTGAGTGATTATAAATTCATTCTTTGATTTTACGAAATTTCAACGATTTGTTAACCGCAAGTTTCCATCTTGGTACGAATGTTGGGACTTCAAAGTGAATTGATTAGCGATCTTTCAAGCTAATAATAATGTAGCTTCAAAAACTCATCAAATCTACAATTTCGAAAACGATTTCATCACAGCAGAAGGATAAGTTACTCTCATAACTCTGTAAATTCTGGATCCAATTCGAAAAGTATTTGGTTTAAATATGCAATTCCAATAAATATTTGAATTCTTAAAAGCGGAATAATTTAAATCATTGATTGATCGATCTAGTACTTATAGTGCTTCATTGTTGTTTTTTTCTATTTGCATCTATTTGTTTGCCTTAGCTTTATGGCTTTTTTAGTAAGCCTATAGTAAGGCCGTTTGAATAATTGCCAGAAGAATATCGTTTATACATGTATTAAAGTCTACCTTTATAATTGTAATTGTAGTCATCTTTAGTCGTCAAAAGTTAAAGGCTTGTTGTTGCCTTTTACACTAGATAAAAACAAGGTTTACGAAAAATCGATTGTAATTTTGTCAYCAGTAACCAACACACGGAAATGCTTCTTACGGCCTCTTTATTAAATTTCAAGGCAAAAATTATTCCGTGTTGGATTTTTTTGGTAGGAATGCCAAAAAATGAATGTAAAGTGATTTCCTTTCTTTCTCTCCTCTTAGAATTTCCTTCAATAAAAAAAGTTTTGAAGGCTCGCATTTCATGTGATATAATGCACAATAAATCCAATACTAACTGAAGAAAAAGCCTTTTATTTGACTGACCACCCAGACAAAGCATCATAACACCGCATGCGCGTCCATACCACARTAAGACCTATAAATTAAATTATGTACCATAGGAAGACCAATAAGCAAATTCATTTCTGCCTTACACCCTTGCAGCAAACAGCAATAGCCCACTTCCGAGATATGCTTCGCTTGTCACGCACAAAGGTTTCAGTATATGGCTACGTGCTAAATTAAATTAATTCTTACCGCCTGTCACGAATGACTGAACATTTAGCACGTAGCCTCATACTGAAACCTTTGTGCGTGACAAGCGCAGCATATCTGGGAAGTGGGCTATTGCAACGACAAGAATGACGGCGCGCACGTGAAAGACCGTTTTGAGGACATGCTTGCGTCATGGTTTTCGCGTCGCCGTCCTCGATGCTTGAAGATGTGTAAGGTCTCTAATAACCAGTTAGTACTTTTTTTTCTTTCTGATTGTCTGTCATACTCATCTACCATCTCCATACTCCAATTTCTCCAATTTTCCCCGTTCTGCAATCGATTGGAAAAATTGCGCGATTATCTTTATTTAAGTTATTAACTTTTTTATTTCAGTAACCGATCAATGGCAAACTTTTGCAGAAAAAATCGGAATAACATATACTGATATTCGATTTTACTCAGAAAGAGTAACTAACCCTGTTTTGAAGATACTGGACGATAATTGTGCTTACATGAACATTGACACACTGTACAGACTTCTTGTTGAAAGTGAGGCAAACGCTATCGCTGATATCCTTTGACGGTGTGGCGGAAGCATTCAGTGGCTGCTGTAGTAAAAATAGAGGAGAGTGTTACCAAAGACAATCGGTTATGTAATCCAAGACGTTCTAAATCAGGGGATGTTCGACATTGAAATTTGCTTGGCCTGGTTGTATTGGTATTTGGCTATCCAGTTCATATTTTTCAGTGCCCGATTGGCTTGATTGAACATTTGTCTGTTCTGCGGAAGATGATGGGCTCTTAGAGAGCTCGGTTGCTAATTATAAATGTATCAGAAAATTAATACACCCTCACGTCTTCTCAGATGAGGACGATAAATTGTTGTTGGTCCTTAGAAATATTTTTAACGCTTTTAAAGTGTTTGCTAATGAGGAAATCGCATTCTTGTCTCCCAACATTTTCTTAATGATTTGAACTCCTGATGTAAAAGTAGGGGCGTTTTTCCCAGTTCAGCGGCATATTTCAATAGACCTATTTACCTCAGGCGTAATGTTTTCCTATTTCAGACCACGTTTCATTCTCTTGAGAATAAGATTCTTTGTTTGAGTTATATCCATATTAATGTGTCTATCATGCGCAACTGTTAAACAAAAAATTATACTCTAGGGAAGGATACGTGGTCTGAAATGGGAAAAATTTTAGCTCAGTGGCATAGGGGAGCGGAATCAGTAATATTTTAGTTTCCATATTATGTATTAGTTTTGAAAAGAAGAATCGATAAATCAGTGCAGTACAACTGTGTCATGTCATTGCTATTTTGTTGATGCGAGCGAAGCGAGCAGCGAAACTAATCTCGAAAGGGTTACGGGGTTCCTGTTGTTTCTTGGCCGTGAGAGATTGGCCACACATGTATGGATGCATTCGGTCCAAAGGTAACCCATGTTAAGCTCGTGAAGCTTTTTGAGCACCAATGAACTATAGATTATAACAAATGACTCTTGGTGACTCATTTCATTGAGGGTATTATGACCCGATTAAGGCGAATATAACAAACTGTTGTCTTTATCAATTAGATTATTGGCTTCTGATTGGCTAGAATCCTTTCTTTTCCGATTTCTRGTTACGAAATTTTTCTACGATTCACATTGCCTGGACCGAGTCTAATCGATTCAATATATGACAAACCAGGCTGTTTTCGGATTCTTCTTCCAACTTAATGATACATACGACAATCTTATATCTCAAGGTCCAATTAAAAGAGCATAAAGTAAACTAAGAATGCTCAAAATATGCTGCTGATTATGAAGTGATCGAAAATCTAAAATGGCTCCCTCTGCAAACAACATGCGTGGATTCTTCCAGTGACGTCACTTGGCGAATACGATGGATTCCATGGTTACGGGATTTACCCAAAACGATTGGCTGAGAAGCGTTATCCGAAAAATGCGAAATCTRGCCACCCAAATAGCTCTTCACGAGCTAAAAAAGGAAAATACTGACCATATATGAAACTTAATTCCAATTCGAATTCAAATTCGACCAATTTCGTTACATACGAAAGTCCCAAAATCCATTTAACTCCTCTCATTGCCCAAAAGTGCGCCAAGTGTTAGTCATCAAATTTCACTGTTTGTTGCTCAGGGGATGCATTGGGACGTTATTGTTTGCTGCAAATAGTCGGTCAATCGATGGATGATCGAATGATGTATGCTAAAAAGGTGTAGCACATGGTTAACATTAAAACAAACAAGCAATAACAAATTTAAAATGAGATGGTATCATAGAAGAGTTTGGAGTATGTGACAAAGTTTGTTCAACGTACCGGTTTGCCTTTTCGAAGTTCAAATATGAGAGTTAGAGAAATTGAACAAATCTATTATATTATCAACCAATAGAAATGTACCGCATCTCTTTGAAAAGATTGTTGACATCGCGGTTGTGTTAAGATGATGATATATAAGTTAACATCAGAGCCCAACATTGTACCAGTAAAGAGTGTAGGCGCGTACTGATATAGAAAAGGTACGTATTTTTACTATCAAGTTTAGTAGGTGCATATTTACCGGTGCATTCGTTTTTTCTCTTCGTTCCTACTTCCGCCTTAATTTCTTTCTTTCTTTGTTCCCTCCTTCCTTCCTTCCTTCCTTCCTTCCTTCCTTCCTTCCTTCGTTTCTTGTTCAGTTTGCTTGCCTTTATTTGTCATATCTCCCGTATGCACTGCCTTGCAACTACTTAATCGTTTAAAAAATTACAGTTTTAACAGAGTTGTGATTGCTTAAGGAATTGAACATTCGACATAAATTCTCTGGGCCTCAGAGTTTTTGCTGTGCTCTCTCTATTTGCTATGGAGGTGCGTATGTATTTTATAATTTAAGTTGTGTGTTTGTGAATATTCAATTGAATATGGTGTGGAGCAAGTAAAGGGTAAGAACACGATCGCCCCAAAGCTATCAGCTCTAATCCTATACAAAGCTAGATAGTTAATGATTTTTTTTGTTTTTTGTTTTTTGTTTGGTTTTTTTTTTTTTTTTT